TAGGTATTTCTTGAAAAAAGGATTGTAGTAAAATTGTCAATGTGACAATCCATGCAACAATGTGATCATATAATGTGTTCATAGTCATTCGTAATAGTGATTATTGGTCCAATATACAATGGCAAAGCTCTCAGTCTCAGCTTTTCTTCCTGTGGGTGGCCAGTAGTGACTCAGAGCTTAGTAGAAGTATTAGTTTTCTTCACAGGGCTGGGATAAAAAGTACTGAGGGTAATCTTCCACCAAGGAACTCTACTTTGACATGGTATGAGATGTAGACACAAGTAGGTTATAGGTAGGTGCTTAGTTCCTATAGTCAGTAGTTGTGTATGTTTAGTCGGGTTAGCTTAGATTAGATTGTTAGTTTTTTAATTTGCCAAGTGTCCATAAAAATGTGACCTGAGCAATGAGCATACCTGACTAACCTGACATCTGACCTAACCTCAATCATCACACATATTTGCAGCCCACCCAAGACCTGCATTGGCATAGCAGTAGCACCCAGTTATAGGTAGGTACTCACCCTAACTCAATCTTACCTGCTAACCTTCAACTTGCCAAAAGTTAGCTCACATTGCCAAGCTGCATCCAGGGAAACAGTCAACTGAGGAACTGGCTCATTGGGTGGCTGGTGTGAGTCTGTGCATTTAAAGTGTTTCTTCTCTGAAGCTGCTCTGCACTGCTGTATGTCATGTTAGATGCTCAGAAAATGTGGGAAATGATAACTAAGCTACTTCAGTGCTTTGTTTATGCTCGAGACATGAACAAGTACAGATCCTCCTGCAGGGTACAGCTATGAGTTAGGTGCTACGTGAGTATGTTATGTGAATGTGCTGTTCCCTGTTTAACCATAGTAAGTATACAAACAAGCACAGGGTCACAGTTATATTCAATCTCCACATAAACATACGACAAAAACGGCCATATAGCCTAACTCCGAAGTCCGAACACACCACAGATGACTTAAGCCTTTGCAGGCACAAAAATGTTTTGATTAACAGGACAGGTATACAATATATCCTCTGTCCTTGGGAGATCTTGCTGCCAAGTTGAGGTACGATGACTGAACTTCAGGATTGATCAACCTTTTCTTAGCCACTGCTTATTTATGAGAAAGACCAAATGTTTGTTTGTTTTGATTTACAGGACATGTATACAATATATCCTCTGTCCTTGGGGATCTTGCTGCCAAGTTGAGGTACGATGGCTGAACTTCAGAATAGATCAACCTTTTCTTAGCCGCTGCTTATATACGAGAAAGACCAAATGCTTGTTTGTAAACTGCGTTGAAAATTTAATGATCCACCTTTAATTCTGACATGAAGGCACAAATGAAATAGTTCCCTCTCCTTTTGGAATACACAAAGCAAAATATTTAATAAATTTTAGTGGATAGACAAGAGCAATTAGCATGGCTTCCCTCAAGTTAACTTCTGGCACTAATGAATTACACTGACGCTTATTCGCTTCATATTTTGTAACAAACGCGCTAAAACTGCAATATAACACCACTATATGCTTCTTGACAAAATGCAATAGTAGTAAAATTTAGCCCTGATGGCATTCATTCTTGGTGGAAACGTAATTACAAAATATTTTGTAGTAACGTTTAAATTCCGGCCGAAAACAGTGCACGGTTTAAAAAAGAATCATTCCCAATGACGGTCCATTCTTGCGGTCCTGAAATCGCCACTATTTCCGGCCTCTCCAACGCAACTCGTTGTCCAGACGTAAATATGCCACATTGACATAGCACAAGGGATCGAAAGGCAGTCTCAGACGCTGCGGAGGGGCCAGGGGGACGGACACATACCCCGGAAAAATTTGTTAGTCAAAAACAACTCCTAGGATTTCGATTTTTACCCACTGATATGTGATTTAACCCTCGCCGGCCGAGGGGGGGGGGCGGGTGCCGCCCCCCCCATAGGGTTTTTTCGCGATAGCTCCGAACACGCTGGCGATAGAGAGCTGAAACTTGGCATACCTGACCTTTGATCCAAGCCGGATCTTTTGACACCAACCGCATTTTTGGGTCAGGTCAGGTCACTGACCTATGACGTCATAAGTGAACCTCTGCACGGTCTTCAGATGTCGGAACTTCGCAATGCCCTCACTGCCAGAGGAGATGTCACAGGGAAATGAAACTTGCAGGATCTAGTATCCATTATGAGTCCCACAACTTGTATATCTCGGATTTTTCCTAAAGGTCATATGAGGTCAGGTCATTTTCGTGACCTCACCATTATAAGTCAATGGGGAAAAATGAAAACTGCTATTCTGGCGCCGGGAACGATCTCCAACTATCTCAAGCACACAGAATCGTGATTTGATGCACTCCTTGCAAGGTTAGATGCGTCACTTTTGCAATGTTGACATTGCGTGACGTCATTTATGACGTCATCAAGGTCATATTAGTTTTTCGTCAATAACTCTTGATCAAATTGAGCTAGCGAGTCGGGAAAGCCACCAATGGACTCAGGAAGACCTGCCGAATCGAATGATATGCGACATGACCTCTTTCGACCAACTTCGTGACCTGGGGGTGCTGACCTGACCTTGACCTGAGGTCAACACCCCAAGTTGACCTGACCCGGACAAAAAGTATATCATTCGACGCGCCTGAGCGAGACGAACACGATGCTGCCAAAATCGGCGCTCTGCGGCCGTTTTTTGCGAAGTTATTCACCAAAAACTGAACCGTACCTTGGGGCACTTGACCTGACCTCAGAGGTCACCGGTTGACCTAGGACCTTAAAATCGGGTACCAATCTCTGCGTCTCGTAACGGCGCACACGCTCGTTTTTTCCGCGACGCGCTAGCTCCACCAGGGGCGAAACGGCGAGGGGGGGGTCGTACCCGCCCCCCCCCCCCTCGGCCGGCGCGTATGTAGAAAACCAATAGGTCCGGCGAGGGTTAAGTAACACATACTTAAAGGTTATTTCATTTTATTTCCATTCTAAGAAAACGTCAATTTCGGACGCTGAGGGAATGGATATTGATTATTGAGGACCCCGATGCCCCCCTCCGCTCCCTAGATCCGCCAGTGCGCGGCACAGAGCCATCAGCCGATATGCAAGATTTCTTCGAGGAGGGGTTAGTGACAAGCATTACAATAAGATTTATTCGAGGAGGGGTTAGTGAACAATCATTACAATAGAGTTCAGCCACAGTGCGATGGGTGTATGCTCTTGTACAGTGTGTCTAAAAAGAATGTACCGTCGCCACTACGTGGCGCTGGTGTCGCGAGCCGGTAGTTGGCTGAATCCGCACCAGACCACACATTCCCAGGCGCTAGGTGACAGCTGCGCAGCGGCCGGTAGTAGCGTAAGCCCGAACCTTCGTGACACGACCCCAGGGGGGGAGGGAGGGGAGCGGGCGGGGCAGCGCGTGTAGGGAGGGGTGCTCCAGCAAGCTGGCAGTTGTCGCGGCCAAAGATCAAGGGGTCACACACCAAGCGGACGGACGCTGATGTGGGTTCGTGGGGATCATGAACTTGTGTGTGGTAGGTGCGTCTTGTGATGCACGGGTGATACGCCAGGTCTAAGCCAAAGGATTCCGGGGAGAGCTGAAGAAAACACCTGGTCAACTACGGCGAATAATAGTGCTGAAAAATGGAAAGTATGGGTCAATGCAAGCCTTCATGACTATAAACAACTTTCTGAGGACGCAAAGGCCAGCATTGAATAACGATATCCGGATCGAAATTAGCAATGATTTATAATTAAATGCCGAACTATAATAGCGCTGCAAAACCCTCCTAGTAAATTGTCAAGTCGGATTATACCCACTTGAATTAAACTATCCTAAATAAAATTGTTAATTAACTTTCTAACACTGACGTTCTTTATCATACGATAAGCATGAAGATTCAGCATCTTCCGCGTTCAAACAATCACCTGTAAGGCTAGAACATTAATGGCCAGGTAAAAACATGGTCGGGATTTGATTAACCGGATTATAAGTCGATTTTTTTAGTCGGGATTTGATAAGTCGGATTTTTTTACGCCAACCGCAAGTCAGGTCACTGATCTATGACGTCATAAATGAGCAGTCCTAAAATGAACTGTGTGAAACTGTCCTAAACTGTCCTCAACATTTTAGGACTGTGTGCACACTCCTAAAATGTTCCAACTTCGCAACACCCTCAGTGCAGAGCTTTCATCAGGGAGACACCGGTTGGTCACGTGACTCGGAAACAAAAATCAGCTGATAGAGTGGCGGAATCGCCGTAATCAAACACGAATAATCCCGGACGATAGAGCGGCAGTATAGGAGTTTTCTTCACAACAGGCAAACATTGCAATGTTTTATCATTTTATGATCAAGAAACGTTCATAAACCATATATTTCTTCGATGATTACTGCCGCAACCGATGCGCACATATCGTAGCCAGCGCATAAAGCTGTGCTTTGCGATATTAAATGTAAAGAAAAACATTCTATATCTTGCTTCAACCTTCTACTTACGCTTTTATAATTACGACAGCGACACCATACGGCCTATCGACGCTATGCAACTCCATGGAGTGTCCGGCCGCACTCTTCCGAGTGTGCCGAGATCAGAGGCGGACCATCCGCGGCACGTCCAGCTGCACTGCCCGGTCGCTGGGAGGGCGACACCTAGCGCCGCTCTGGACGCTCGCTTCCGCGCACAACTAAGCTACCTGGCTACGACTGTGGGAGGGGAGGAGCCAGGAGGAAAACCAATAACAGTCTGATGAGCCAATGGAGTCTGCGTCTGCGTGCCGCGGCAATCAGCGCCCTTCCGCGCGCAGACGGGAGCTAGAGCTATTCATCTCGTTTCCTGTTTTCGCTGGTCCGCCAGTCACCAGCACCGTTCCGTACCCTCGATCGTAGCCATTCAGCCGTGTTGCCCTATACAACAACAGTCAGCAGCCTCGGATCGCGCCAGTCGGCCGCCAGAGAATCTATATTATCTATTTGCCGTACAGCATTGCAAGCGTTACAGTGTTTGCAGCCGGGTGTAATCAGTAGTTGACACATTTTATGTTTTGTATCACAAAATTTAAAAATTCATTGAAATATATTCACTTTAATTTGCATACAGCTTTTGATTCTTGACGCGGATTGTTAGCCCTTGCTACATCAAACAGCCAACGTCCATATTTCTGTTTCCAGAGCTGCAGTGCTGGACACCGAAAGTACATTATGTTCTAATAATTCAATCCAAAGGTACATAGATTTCACGACAAACTTCTAGGTTCCAGAGCAAGTATTTTCTCGCCAGAAGCGCGCGATTGATTGCAGCTGGCGCGCTCACGATAACTAATATCGCGCTCGCCAGAACCTGCCGGTTACAGCCACTCACACCTTACTAATCCAACCTCCGTCCCATTTATCATTTATTAGCATATCGAGACAGAATGAGACTACGACATAATCGTCAAATTACATAACACAAATTGCGGGACGTCATCGGAGAGCCCGTTAAAATACCAAACCCCAATCTCGGCCAACACCGTTGGGACGGGCGGGGGGGGGGGGGGCGGGAAGGGCTTGAAGCTGGGGGACGTATCGGCGTATCCTTCATAGACACGGGTGTTTCGCAACGCTGGAGCGTCGAGCCGAATTCGTCTCAATCGCCGCACTAACACAGCAGCGCTGCGTAGCGCGCTGCAGTACGCTGCCGTGAAACAGGGCCCAGGAGTCGGATGGTCTCGGCGGCGGCGGCAGCGGTGACGGCGCTTGTCACCGTGGAGCCCTTGAACGACGCCGTCAGCTCGAGCACCGGCGACTAGTGACCTGTAACAGAGCGAGTCGCGTCACGTCACGTCGTCACCTTTCAGTCGCGACGGCCGTTATATAAACAGTTACTGAGAACATCACGTACCAGCCACGGCGACCGTCACATTACAGTCGCGGTGATCGTCACACAGCAGTCACGGCGACCGTCACAGGTCACGACGGTCATCAAATACCAGCCACGGCGAGTATGACTCATAGTCACAACGTCTTCTGTCGCACACTCAGTCATAATTACAGTACATTAGCCTGTGCATAAACATCTCATCCAAGAAGTCCAAGCCCGATTATTACCCGCGTAGGGCTGCGGTTTGGTGGCGTGCGGCGACCGGCCCGACGGTTCAACGCCGGTGCTTACAGCGGGTCGATCCTGACTAGTTCAACTGGCAGCTCACCGACACGGACTGGACACCAGTGTTAAAGCAGCAGAGACCTATGGAGAAGTGGGAGAAATTTCGCAGGATTTTCCTATCACAACTCGACACAGTGGCCCAGGCGTCCACAACTCGACAAAGTGGTGACCAAGGCGCAGCTGCGCCCCCCCCCCCGTTCGCACAATTACTGACCTGGAGATAATGTGATGGTTTCTGGACAATGTGGCTTGATACTGGCCACCACACTCTGCAACTTCCTGCCAGGTGACGTCCTTCAGCTGGATCGAACCGCTGTCTTCAGAAGTCAGAACCGCCGACAGCAACGAGCCTGTTGAAAGATAACATGCTCAGAACTAAAAAACCACAAAGTATACAATGGAAACGACTAAGCTGGCCACAGGCACGGTACACAACGGCGGTCTTTTATGCTCAGGAAGTTCCATCGCCACAAAAGATTGCAAATGGCTATGTTATAAAAAAACTCAGATATCACATATCTAGTCTGATAATGGATACCTGGCCGCACGTCATGTGGATGGCAGCATGGCTTGAGCTGTGTGCTTTGGCATTTCCATGGTGACATTGGGCCCCATGCATGGCGCTGGTGTTTCGTCTGCATGTGCATGTCTGCATCTACTGATCTGGGGTCCAGTTTCCAAGATCTCTTGAGCGTGCTGGGCTGCTAAGTTAATAGATATATTACACTACGCATTCGCGATGGTCTACAGTGATAAAATTGTGGTAAATGGATTTTCTCCTCAGTCCTCTTCTTTTATTCCAACCCTTATTTCTCACTGCCGTTTGGCTGAGGCACCTTGAGGCTTGATGCAGAACGAGAATGCCCATGCCGTGTGGCACACCTTTGATGAGCGTCTGTCCCAGCCAGCATCTGTTAGCAGTGGCTAGGTGGCTGTGCATTAGCAGACCCCTCTGTCAAGCTGACTTGGCTCAGAAACTAGCAGGAGGTTGAGTGTGCATCCTACGATGGGTAGCTGCTCATCTATGTGGCTCTGTGACACAGGATCAGATCAGCCTGGGAGAGAAGAAAGCCAGTCAAGGCAGTAATGGGATGTTGCCAGACTGGCAAAATAGAAAGTACTATGCCACAAGATACAAAATCAATTTAAAGTTTTGTTGGGTTGGGCACTTTCAAGTTTTGGCCCAAAAAGACTAGAGTTGGAGGAATGATAGGAATTAGGGGGAGCTATTGGTATAGGCAAGCACCCTGGTACAAGTCATTGGGGCTGAGCCCATCCAGTGGACAGGGCACCCAGCCCCTGACACTGCACCTGGCTCCGTGTATGCTCCTACTAGGGGAGCTTCCCACATGGGATGAAAGTGTCTGCCCAGCCCAGAACAGGGGGTTGAGGCATAGAGACTAGAGAGGGATTTCTGGTATTCATATAGCAGGCATCTCACATGCTGCCACCCATTTGTGAAGTCGCTAGACTCTTCAGTTCTTGAGACATTTACATAAAATTCGCTTTTAAATCTAATCAAATACCTATCTAGTCTAAGAGAACAAAACATTATCTAACCTGACCTAACCTTACCTACTAAACTAACAACTTACGGTTTATGGTAAAGCTGGCGTCACTGTCAGTTGGTAGGGTGTAGGGTATAGGTTAGTATGTTAATAGCCAATAGGTAAGGTTAGGTAAGGTAAGATTGTAAGATTTTTAAATTTCAGCTTCCTTTTATCTACACAATTACTGGCTAGCGCTGAAGGTGACTCCAGCTTTATTGACACCCCATTAAGTCCGTCACCAGGGTGGTGTTTCACCGGTGATAGCAGCACGCTGCTATTCTGCTGACGTCACACTTGTGGTTGTGTTGGAGCAATGTGAATGGGGCTTGTTAGTTGTTGATGTCTCCATGGAAACCTAATTTGACACATGTAATAGCAGCGTGCTGCTATCACTATCACCGGTGAAACACCACCCAGGCCAAACTCGCACCACGCTACACTAAATCTGCTCTGCACCAAGCCAAATCCGCAACGCACCAAACCCACGCCAGCTGAACAACCCCACGATGACATCTCGTCGAAATTGCCATGCTTCGTCAACTGGCCGTTGGGGTAGAGCAGACTACATACTTGGTAGGATAATTACCACAACTACAAGACAAATCAATCAAAACATCAACTACCTTTGGCCTTAGCCTAGTTACCTTTTACCTATTTTGATTTGAATCTCAACTGAACCACAGAATTCAGAAAAGGATCTAAAACACAAAATCACCCAGCCTGGTGCTCGCACAGGCAAAATCTCAGGAAAAAAATAAGTTTTAAAAACAAGGTACCAAACCAACACCTACCTTCCATTATTTATAGTCACAGTGCCTTCCATCTTTACCTTACAAAATCAAATCAAATAACAGACCCCATTATAGAGTTCAGTGTAACAGACAAAACAAATAACAACCGATGACAAAATACAAATTAAAACAAAGGTGTTCTCCATCAGCAAACGAAATGCCGTTCAACCAATCGAATGCAAAGACATGCGTCTGCTAGCGACAGAGGTATATTAGCAGCATTTACAGAACAGTGGACAAATCACAACTGAGGGTGGTCTGCGGTTTTCAATACCGAAATTCGTAAATTTCCCAAGTTCATCTTGTTTTATAACTCATATCAAAAGATAGAGAATTCTTTTATGTTAATTATTCAGATTGAACCAGACACCGACATTGTCTTGTTTTTTAGTAATATTCCATTAATTGTCATAGTGTTACCTTCAGCAGAATTGAAGATCATTCATTCTAGACCAAAAAAATATACCTTACATCTTCGAAACTGCAATGAGATATGCTGACTTTTAAAGAAAATTGAATTCTCATTTTGATAGAGACGTTTTAAGAGCATATGCCTAACAAGTTTACCAAATAGACATGTTTTTGTTCAGGAGTAATCGGTTCCAAAAAATATAAGTTCGAGATTCATAAATACATTTTGTGAGAAAATTGGTTCCTGGCTGCAGATAATCGCGAGTACAATAAGGGCATAACGCAAAGCACACCTCACGGAACAGAGAAACAAAAGACAGTGACAGAAGGGCAGACGAACGCTTGTTCTCTCCTTCTCTCTCCTTCTCTTTCTCTCTCTCTCTCTCTCTCTCTCTCTCTCTCTCTCTCTCTCTCTCTCTCTCTCTCTCTCTCTCTCTCTCTCTCTCTCTCTCTCTCTCTCTCTCTCTCTCTCTCTCTCTCTGCAGAAGAGCAGTGCCTCTCCCCAGGGGCATCTCCATAACTACGCATTTCCAGAGTTCCATGACCCATGGCCTCAAGAAGCGAGCGGCGCGGACCAGCGCGGACGCTGCGAGGTCATTGTGCGTTTCAGCGCGTCGAGGAGATGGCGTGCCCACGCATTTACATAACCTTAGGAAGTAAAGGTACACCTGGTGTGGTTTCATCGCTGTATTATCTGCACACGCACTAGGTAGCTTTTGGATATACAGCTTGAAAGAAAGAGCAGTTGAAAAAGTATGATCAACTTTCGTATCTATCCTACCCCATTTCATCAACAGGTCCCAGGGAGGGGAAAAGGTGACTATGCTTGTGTTCACAGCTGTTGGCTCCGGTGCACATATCCTGCTATCAACAGGTGATGGCCGATCAGAATCAGCTGCAACATCGGTGCCAGATAACGAGCGGCAGCCCGCGGTTGCGGGAGGGTCGTACACTGCTCAGCTCTGACCCTGAGCGCGCGCTGTCAGTACTTCGGCTGGAATGGAGCGGACAGACCATGGACAGTGCATGATCTACATGCAAAGCAGCAATGCCGGCTCTTAGGTGCGACCGATTTCTTATCAACTCAACTCGTATCTTCTGCACACCTACTTCTGCACAAGTATGAACTGAGAGACAAACCGAACGACCGAGGTGTTGCTTTCGCGGTCATCGAGGGAATGTGAGATGAAGGTACCCCGTCTAACGATTAATTATGCGAACCGTGAAATGGCGATATCCTGTTATTGGAACAGTGTAACAAAAATATTCCAGATAGGCAGTCGCGCAGTGGATAGACAGTCGGAAATAGGGACAGCTGGCGCAATGCATCGGTACTTTTGCAGCAACAAGACATCGAGTGAGTTTCGCGTTATCAACATCAGGAAGGGTGTTGAGGAATACACATTTAGAAGGTACATGGTTATGTCCGAGCGATAATTACGGCGTGGCTGTTCAGATACGCGACACACAAAGCACGGCACACTGATTGGAGTGATGGTGCAATGACCTGAATGTTACGCAGCGACATGTTATTTTGACATGCTTGCGGCAATAGCGGTGACGGTATTTAGATATGCAATTGCAGGTGGCGGCATGTGTAGTTTAAACGTTGTGGGTAGTATGAACACCGGTACAGATTGTTGTGCATTGTTCGATACTCGATAGGGAGCGGATAATGATGCTACATTGCACCATGGTGGTGGTAGATTAGAATATTGCGATATGACAATTGGTAAGATATGTGAATGCTTTATATAAATACCATGGCGCCGATCGCCGGCCGCGCCAGCCCCGAGACGGCACGGGCTAGAGACGGGCGCGGCCCTGTGCGGTGAATGTGCGAAGGTATAAATAGGCGCGTTTGAGACCTTCGGGCCCTCTCGCTCTCTCGGGCTCTTGCTCTCTGGTTCGCGCGCGGGCAGTGGTGGTCCCGACGCCGCCCGTGGTGGTCGCCTTGTGCGTCTGGTCTACAAACATGTAAGTTCTTGGGCCTTATCTCCTGCCCAGTCGGACGTCTCTAACCGGACTCTTGCCAAGCCCTATCCACGACACTGGTTCCGACCGGCGGAGTGAAAGGGCTAGAGCCTGACTTCGGTTGAGTCTCTGCTGCGGTCGGAGATATGTCTCAGGCACAGACACACACATTAGTCACACTGGCGTAGGTAACAACATTTCAGGATGGCCGCGGTACTGTGGGCAGTTTTTAAGTTCGATTGATTGGTCTATGCCTTTTTGAGACACCGTGTTTCGGGACTCGACTCAGTCCATTTCGGCACGTTTGGCTGCTATGAGTCAGTTCCACCTCTTTGGCAATATTATTTCGGTGTCATGATTTCGGCTTGATCATTGTTTCGACTTTCATTGAATGTTTCGGCACTTTGGCTATATTTACCTGAACAGTGCACGGTTACCGTGACATTGCTCGTTTTCTGGCTCTTTTTGTTTGAATTGTTCGCTTTTATTTATTTCGGCCTTTTCAATTACAATACATATTTAATATGTATACCTTCTACGTTCTTTCTCGAGGTCGGAAATGACGGTGGAAACGCTGGCAATATGATGATTCGGACACGAACGGGTTTGTGGGATACATGGTTTTTGGTCGATCAGAATACCCCTAGACAACGGCTAAAGGATTGTTGAGTGTTAAGACGATACCCCTAGACAACGATGAGTAGGATTGTGCAGATGACACAGATTAGAATACCCCTAGACACACGAGGAATATTAGCAGAAGTTACCACAACAGCCAGTAGGCGGGCATGAATCCATCCTCACACCCATCCTTTACCCACTCTACATCCTCATCCTTCTCCCAGTCATCCTTATCCATATCCCCATCCCAAACACCACTTATAAATTCACACTGGTGGCTCTGGTCCGGGATGTGATCTTAATCAGTTCGATTAAGAGACCTGGAGATGGGGCATCTCCTTGGCCCTACTGGCTTTTGGTTGTTTAATAGCCTTGTTTATTATTTTGTTTATGGTCATTGCTTCCGGCTCCGAACTGTAATCACATTCAGTCTGGGCTCGGCCATCAGTGAAAGTGATTGAGGACGGTAGGTGCAAAACACGCACAAACAAATTCTGAGGGTCGGTTAGTGTTCACAGTACCGCGAGCCATGTTATGGTTGAAATTGAAAGTTACGGATACGAAATGGACACAATCATTACACACAGACAACGGGACTGGGAAGGTGCGCGGAGGGCGTTGACCTCTTCGTGCGGCAAGGGTTATAAACACCTGTAGCCATGGGTATTCGGTGCCTTCATTACCAGAAGGTATTCTTCGGTCATGGTGAAAATTTGCATTTTGATCAGCTCGATCACGAAGCCTGGATATGTTCCTGCGTCAGCATGCGGTTAGGAGGTTGTGTGTGCCGGGGGTTGCATCTTGATCTGCTCGATCAAGAGACCTGAGCGTGGTCCGGTGCCGACAGGTTGTTAAAAAGTTGTGTGCGTGCTGAGATTTGCATCTCGATCTGCTTGAGCTGGAGATCTGGAGGTGTTCCGGATTCGTAATGATGTAAGGAAGTTGTGTGGTTGGCTTCTGATTGGGTAGTGTGGTTGGCTTCTGATTGGGTATTTTCATTACAACGCTATTTCTATTAGGTTCGACGTTATTCAGCTGGATTTCGCTCCGCCTTCAAATGCTATTGTAACCGGCACGGTCATTTTTCATGACATTGTAGCTTTCATATTGGGGAAATTTTTCGGCTAATTTTGCGGTTGTATGGTCCATGATATCTGGAGAATTAAGCTCGGCCAACGTCGGTTTAATTGGTTTCTTAGGGAATTTCGGGCATAGGATCCGCATTCGATAATTTCGTGTGACTTTATTCCGACTTGCATTTATAGCAGCTAGTATCGCCGGGTGACAGCCTGTTCGTTTTTTTTTTTCACGGTATAATGGTCGATTAATATTTCGGTTGTGTACCGTACATTGCATCGGATTTCGTCGAAGTTAAAACATTTCTTTGCTGGTTTTATTTGTATCTCAGTTTCCATTTTAAAAGCCTATGATTGTATTTCGGATAACTACGTTTTTTTTCAACAACATCCAATTACAGCATGGGAAGTAACGTTATCTCTTCTCGGTTGGTTTTGTTCCAAGGGCCTATATCGGGCCTATAGTATGGCGATGCCGCGATACAGCAGAGATTTCCTACAAAATTGGTGATATTTTATTTGCCGTCCAATTATTTCAATAGCAGGTATGCTTCGGATGCCGAAACGTTTCACAGGCGACTCTCGCAACTCCACTTTATCGGGGTCTCTGTTGGCGAAAGTGCAGCACGGTCGGTGAAAGCCTTCAGGTGGAAGTAGGACACCGCTGTACGCACACGCACTCGCCCAAGGCTAGCGGTAACCTGTTTACTGCGCGCCCCACGGTCAAGGTCACCACAGGCCGTTACACCGATTACACTGGACAGATTCACCGGAGGACAGCAGGGCAGAGTTTGTGAACACCTGGGCTGTGTCAACACCCGGACGAAGTTCATGAAATGTTTAAAGTATTACAGTAACATTTTATTTCAAAGTAACAGACATTTAAGGTATATATTATAGTAGGTAAATGCTATATTCAAACTAAATACTTATTATCACAATTCAGTTAATGGTTAAATTTGCTGGTTAAATCTTGGCTTTCCTTTGATGTGCATGATTGTGGAATTGAGTATGACCTTTCGTGTGTTACGTGCTAATTGATCTGTGACACGTGTGTGTGACGCATGAGAATTGATGTGAATGCTTAGCGCTTACAGCGTGACTAATGACACAATGACTAGACGATCATCCCCGTATCAAACAAAACTTTGGTCGAC